GGGTTCCCGAGACGACTGTGAATTATCACGTCTTGAAGTTCAAGGATAACTTCGTGCGTCACACGGTGGAGAGCTGGCACCTGTAGTTCGTAGCGAAATATTTGAGCGCGGCGAAGTGCATTTTTGGGGCTAAAAAAAAACTTAATGGATTCAAATGTTGCACAATGCGGAGTCTAGCTCATCTGCAAGTACTGAAAAACCTCTGCAACTGAATATTTCTGTTTCCGACATTATGAGTAACACGAAAATACACTTGAGAACTTGATAATTCAGTTAGAAATATCAAGTGTCTAAGCCTCGAGATAAAATATATCAAACGACCTTGAACCCTCAAAAACTCACGGAAACTAGTGTCTCGGACATAAGAATTCGCAGATAAGACCTAGTTCCTTTTTTTTATTTTGCAGTATTTTTAAGACGTAAAAAATTTAAAAGATTGAAATGTTGCACAAGGTGGAAAAAATTGGGATAAAATGATATTTTTTATTGTTTCCTGAATACATAAAAAATCTTCTGCCACCAAATTCATGTTCCCGAAATTATAAATAGCACGCAAATATACTTTAAAAAAAATCAATAACTCTATTACAAAAATCAGCAAGTGTCATATAGTCCAATTATATTACTTGAGAAACTTGATAATTTAGTTACGAATACCATTAAGTGTTCACAGCCTCGAGATAAAAAATGTCGAGCGACCTTGAACCATCAAAAACTCCAGGAAACTAGAGCGTCAGGCACAGAAATTTGCACATAAGACCTAATTCATTGTCTTATTTTTCAGTATTTTTAAGACGTCAAACACTTAATGGATTGAAATGGCGCACAACGTGGAAAAAATTGGGATAAACTGCTATTTTTTATTGTTTCCTGAATGCATCAAAAATCTTCTGCAACCAAATATTGATGTTTCTAAAAAAAATCGATAACTCAATTACAAAAATCATCAAGTGAGAGAAGTTGAGAAACTTGATAATTTAGTTAAGAATACCATCAAGTGTCCACAGCCTCGAAAAAAAATGTCGAGCGAAAAAAATCAATACCTTAAAATATTGCACAATGTGAAAAAAATTGGGGCTAAATGATATTTTTTATTGTCTCCTTTAAAAAAAATCATGGAATTCTTTTAGCTCTTCTGAATGCATCAAAAGACTTCTGCAATCAAATACCCATGTCCCCGAAATTATAAATAGCACGTGAATACACCTAAAAAACTCGATAACTCAATTACAAAAACCATCAAGTGCCCACCGCCTCGCGATAAAATCGATGTTGAGTGGCCTTGAACCATCAAAAACACCCGAGGACTAGTGCCTCGTGCACAGGAATCCGCAGACGAGACCATCGTGAATCGATCGATGCACCTCAATAGTCCGTCATTAGCGCAAGCCCAATTATAACGATTTAGCAACCAACCGAAATTCAAATCTCCAATTCACACGAGGCATGTACATACAGTTGATATCACGTGATTTTTTTCAACTTTGGATCTCAATTTAGTCATTCTCTAAGAAAATAAATTTAGATTTCTCAAATTATTATTAATTAATTAGTAATAATAATAACCATTATTATTATTATTATATTATTCAATATTATTATATTATTATATTATTTATAATAATGTACGAGTTTATTATATTTTCATTATTATTATCATTACTATTATTATTTAATTCAAATTTAGACATTCTGAAGACATTCTGAATGTCTTCGAGTAGAAACCCATGATGCCTCATTGATTTTTCTGACTACAATTGCACCTATTTTTATAAATGTCTATTGTTTCCATTAGAATGCGTTCCATTCTTCATTTTTCGATAATTTACTTGAGTCTTGAATGCTTTATTTTATAACCATGAAAGAAAAATTCTTCAAAATCCATTTATGAAGGAACAAATCATTTCAACAAATGCATTAACATGTAAAAATGTTTATTATTATTCAAAATATTTTAATTGAAATGCAGATATAAGTTCATTAACTCTCAACATGTTAAATTAAACCGCCTAATTTAACCCACGGGGTATTGATACTCCTAAATATCGTTCGAGAAATCATTCTGCGTCAAATTAAAAGGTAAATTTATGATGGTCAGATGTTAGCGTCAAGTGAATGCTGTTAATTTGCGGGTGAATATTTGTATTGACAATAATAATTTGTCGTTGAATGGAACGGTGCGTTTGAATCACTGGCACGTTAAACCAATGTTTGAACAATTTCTTTGTCCGTTGCCAAGTAAAATTGTTATTCTTGGCTCAGGATTTTGAATTCAGAGATGAGAGAAGACGAGTCAGAGTCAAGTTGTTGAGGATATTTCGTGCGTTAATCGCATAAATATCCCGAGTATTTGGCAGGAAGTATTGGCCAGGTCAGTGGTGGGATTTTATTTTAATGATTCTCAGAATAATCGTATTGACGTTCAATCCTCGCGCGACAGAGGCAATGACCAATTAAAAATTGTTCGTCAACAAACCAGATGATGAACAAAATGCAGAATCGAATAACAATGGTGGATTATTCTTTCATTGCTCAGTCATTCGACATCTCATTGTTCATACATCCGATCCATAATGTAACGAATTGATGAATAAATCCTAGGGAATGAAAAGAACGCGGAATGAAAAACAATTATCCAAAAGGTTTTGAAGGTTATATCTCGCATGATGCAATGGGATGGTCATTGAATATTCACGAAGTTTATTAGATTTATGATAAGGGAAGGTATTGTAATCATTACGAAAATCGATTTTCGATTCTTCATCGAATATGGGCATTTCAAGGTCTCTAGGCTCATTTTCAGTCATTTTCAGAAACGCGCGCGCGCGCGCGCGTGTGTGTGTGTGTGTGTGTGTGTGTGTGTGTGTGTATTTGATTGTGTAAATATGGATGTTTCACAATTTATAGTTCACAATTTGTTGTTGAAATTCAATAACAGGTTGGTAATTCATTTTTTTCACTAAAATTATTTGCTGCAATTTACCAAATAATTTTAGTTAAATTATTTGTTGAAATTTACCAAATAATTTTAGTGAAAAAAATGAATTACCAGCCTGTTATTGAATTTCAACAACAAGTTGAATTTCGACAACTAATTACTGAAATTTAGCAACTAATTGATCAATTTCGAATTTTCAATAACGAAATTTACGAAGAGTACCAACAACCGATTCCACTAGTTCTCCATGATTTTCCAGTAAATTAAACGTTAGAAATGTGGATATGGATTAAATAGAAAGTGGGGGGAGACGCCGAGATCAGTCAAGGAAAATGATATACTGGGAATTGGTCGCTTTGTCGGTTGAATACCGCTGATGATTAATTACTCATGTTCCGGAAGACTTTGAGACTCACTCTCCAATTGAACTCAATGAAAATTAACTTCATTAATTCTCACACTGCCATTCAAGAATTAGAGTTGGTTAGGCATTTTTTGTGGAATAAAACACAAGAACAATTCGCGGATAATTTATTAGGGGAGATTGATCACTGTTTATTCTTTCATTTTGAATAAAGTGACAGTTATGTGAAGGAATAATAACTTAGTTCAGTAGTAATTTTCAGAAGAGCGCAATTGAATTCGATTTATGGAAGCGAAAAAATCGGAAAATTTCAAATTTCATTGAAAATTCCGTGAAATCCTTAATTTTTGAGCTGCCGGAGATTGGGGAGTTCTCCAATTTGGTTGAATTTACTATGAAAATGTGAATATTCACTATATTTACCCAATTTTTCTTCATTTCAATCAAATATTTTGAGCGAAATTGCATGGAATTTTAGCAGAAGTATCATTTGACACTATTCTATTCTACTCTATTTCGATTGGACTCAGTTCAATAAAAATTTTCAAAAGAGCGCAATTGAATTCGATTTAAGGAGGCGAAAAAATAATGAAATTTCCAATTTCACTCAAAATCCAGTGAAATTCTCAATTTTTGAGCTGCCGGAAAACGAGATTTCTTTAATTTGCTTAAATTCACAGTGAAAATGTGAATATTCGGTACCAAATTATACTGAATGTTCAATTAACTGAGAATCCCAGAATATATTTACCTAATTTATCTTCATTTGGATCAAATTAATAATTAATAATCGAACTCAAATGTAATTTCCATTAACTTTCTCACGAAATCGCGAATTTCCAATGCCGAAATTTCTTGGAATTTCATCAGAACTGTTGTTTGACAAACATTTACAGTTCGAAAAAATTCAGGATTCCGCCAGAAATTACAACAATCCAAGCCCCATCCTAAAAATGGGTCAACCCTACGTCATTTTCACTCGCATTTCATTCGATTAACATCACCCATTCAATAAACCCCTGAAAATCCACCATTTCCATAATTAAATTTTCGTAAACGCCATTTAAGCCCGTAAAATCGAGAGCATTTGACTGCTGTGCTCGCAAGAAAAGCCTGAGAATTCCGCAAGAAATTGGGACAATGCAAGTCCCAGTGACCCAGGTCAACCTCCTGTGCAGCCCCAACCCGTCTCCCCCCCCTGCAGCCCTTGATCGCCTCTCCCATGCAGCAAGGCAAAACCACAAAAAGAATAATGGCAGTCACCTTTAATCGCATTGTTGTCGTCAGTCATGTGTTCATCCGAGATAGAGCACGTGTCAGGATGCAAAGTGCACAGTTCCTCCTCCCCACCCCCGCCCACAGCGAAAGTGCAGCATTCCATGTTGCTGCGACCTTGAATATACAAACGCGAAGAGAAGAAATGAGAGAAAGAAGACAAATAGGCCCTCGGGATCTCGTGTAAAAAATCACCCATTGGATTTAAAAAACGAGAAGTCACAATCGGTGAAGGAATTTTCACCACTCGCTTTGACAAAGTGGAAAAAAACCAGTGCGCCTGCGCGTCGTGGATGACGTCACACGTGCAGAGAAGTTTCGTTGGGAGTAGCTGCGGGTGAATAGAGTAGGAGAGTTCCGACAGTGGGGAAAACGGTCGAGAAACGACCAAGGGAGTTGGATACAAACGCCGGCTGTGCCAGACACTCAGTCTCGCCGCGTAACCCGTGCTGATAGTACATAAAACATAATTCATTGAATTTAATAATTGTGAAGTGTCACGGGAGAGCAGCGGAGGGAAATCTCCAAAAACACAAAGTCAAATTCGGAAATTGATCGAATTTGCAGTGAAGTCAGAACATTTTTAATTTTCCTGACTTCTGAAGTAGGAAATTAATTTTTTTTTAATCAAAAGACGCTTTTAGCGACAGATAGTGCGAGAGTGAGAGTACAAATTGTGCTCGGAGTGCATTTGTTATTGACTTGCGAACACGAAACCGAGAGGGATATCGAGCAGCCCCCGGCTGCAGCCCCACCACTTCTCCTTGCGCACTCTCACTGTTGGCTCCATCTTCCTCGCACATCCCTCGGGTACTTTTTTTATTCAACGAGAGGGACAAAGTGACTCGGGGCGAACTGCATCGTTCTGGGGGATCTGGGTTTAATTGCACTCTTTGGGGGGAGTTTTGGAGAAAGGGGATTTTATCGTTGATTAATTTTTCGAGATTTTTTGAGAGGTGAATCAGAGGGCTATTGTTACACCTGCGGGCCTCGTCTTCACTCCGCGATTTTGCAATCTTAGACCGGTTCGTTTGGTGCCAGGTGCACAACACTCGGTTGCCACATCTTGAGTGGAAATAAGAGGGAGATTTTTTTTTTTCGCGGGGATTCAACACTTCAGCTTTATGACCAGCATATGCTCTTGGTCTAGGCTCGAAACCGCTGTTTGGAGTCATTCATCGTGGTAAAGTGGCTTGAGGTAGATAAGGGGTGATAAGTGTGGAGGACTTTTTTCCGAGACTATGAGATAATGAGTTGCTCGGTGAAGATATCCAGCAAGGGCTGGTGTGGCTCGCAGAGGAGAATTGCTTCACTGCCGGAGGAAACCACTGGGGGGTCTCAGGGGGCTAGTGCACCGGGAACTTTGGGGTGTCAGAGTGCTAAGATTGGACAGCCGCCGAGGGCGGCCAAGTCTATCGCGGTGAAGAGGGGAGAGGACACCGCGAAATTGCTGAAGTATATTGATGATAATGTCATTGGGAAGAATGGAACTTTCTTCGGGCCTTTTGGACGGAGGAAAGGTAAGATTCCTTCGTTTGTGAGGCATGGGTTGAGGAGTACTTTGAGGATATCTTCGGAGGGAAGGGGTTTAGGAGAATTTTTTATTGGACATTTTTTGTGGGGAGTTTCAAGGGCTATAGAAAAGGTTATTGGACAAATTCTCGTAAACTTCTTTATTTCGGAGATATTCTCAGAAAACTCGGCGAAGAATTTTTTATGTCTTGTTGCAGAGAAATTCAGGTATAGATTAATTTGAAAATATCTTGGGAGTGAAAGGATTCAGAAGAACTATTTGTATGACATTTTTTGTGGGAAATTTCGAGGGCTATAGAAAAGGTTATTGGGCAAATTCTCGTGAACTTATTTATTTCGGAGATATTCTCTGAAAACTCGGCGAAGAATTTTTTATGTCTTGTTGCCGAGAAATTCAGGTGCAGATTAATTTGAAAATATCTTTGGAGCGAAGGGGTTTAAGGGAATTTTTTGTATGACATTTTTTATGGGGAATTTCAAGGAGTATAGAAAAGGTTATTTCACAAAGTCTCGTAAACTTTTTGATTTCGGAGATATTCTCTAAAAACTCGGCGAAGAATTTTTTGTCTTGTTTCCGGAAAATTCACGTGTAGAGTAATTTGACAGTATCTTCGGAGTAAAGGGGTTTATGAGATTTTTTTATGAAACATTTTTTATGGGGAATTTCAAAGGCTACAAAAAAGCTGTTCTGATGAATTTTCGTAAATTGAATATTTTCAGCAAAAAATCTCAAGTGTTACAAGAAACGTCTCTTAATAATTTTGCGTAAAACTTCATTTCCCAGGTGACAGGAAATATTTTTTAACCCACCGATTATTTCTAAAAAATTACAAAAACTACATCCCCTCCGTTTTCGAGGTGTTTTCAAAATAATCTGCACATGAATCCTCGTTATCTCTAGTTATCGCCTCAGTAAAAAATTCCATTTCGATGATAAAAACATCAAAACACGCAGAAACTAAAACAATAGAACGGGTTAGAAACTTCGAGCCCTGGAAAACCTCATGAATGAAAAAGAAATTATCGATTAATTCCCCCGATCAATGCGATAGTTTACGATGTTTCATGCTAATGATTGTTTTGACACACATGACCGGATGGTTTTTTTCCCTGTATCTGTAACGCGAAACCAAACCGGACGCTAGTAATTAAACTGCGTTATCTGAGTCATTACGTAAGCCGAGAGATTCAGTACATATTTTGTTATTATCAAGAAACAATAGTCTGTCTGATCAGCTGTGGATACGGCAGACTGTACGGCGGCAGTGAACAACAGCTATTGGTCAACAGAATATTGTCCTATATTTCGAGTGCTATCAGTCGTGGAACTACTGGTCATTCCGAGATAGCCTTATTTTCGAGCGTATTTATTTTTTCGTCGTAAAAATTCCACCCAAAAGATGATTGGTTTGAGTTAATTAAATTGATTCACTCAGATAACTCGTAATAAAATTTTTATTCGAATTTAATCTTGATTTCTATTTGTGTTTTATTCACATGAAATAATTTCTTTAATGTGGACAAATATTTTCTTCATTTTAATAACGACTTTATGAATTAAAAATCGAATCATTGTTTAGAATTTATTCCAATTTTTTAATACTTTTTTAAAATAAAATAACCGTGAATTCTGTTCTTGTTTTTATTCACACGAAATAATTGTTTTAACATAGACAAATATTTTCCTCATATTAATAACGACTTTACGAATTAAAAATTGAATAATTGTTTAAAATTTATTTCCATTTTTTTGTTCTACACATAGAAAAATAGTTTATTTCAATTGAATAAATTTCCTTTGAGTCGAATGAATTCGTTTATTCAAATAATTTTTTATTCGAACTTCAACTTAATTCTATTTTTCGTTCTTATTCACATGAAATGGTTCTTTTAATTGAAACAAATATTCTTTTTATTTAAATAAGGACTTCACGAATTGAAAATCAAACCATTGTTTAAACGGTGAAGAGGAAAAGTTGTTCAACGTGACTGGATTGTAACGGGGATTTGTTTAGAATAAATAAAGAATTTCTTTCATACAATTAAAACATTTCTAATAAATAGTAAAATTTCAAATGCAGATTTTTACTGAATGCAAACGCGTCATTTCTCTGGGTTATTATATTTAGTACAATAGTCTCCATGGGCCAGAATATTTTTATTAATTATCGTCAAGGTCCGTCGCGTTTCTTATTTTTATATTTTGTTTATTCATTTCTTTATTATTTAATGCACTATTCAACAGCCCAGTCGAGATAAAACAGTTGCATCGTAACGAAGCACTCGAAAAAATGTTGAATTACAACTGGTGGTTGCAGTCCTCGTTTGGTAGGCCCATGTGCGAGCTGTATTGCATAAGCCGCGCATTACAGCAGACTGCAGGGCGCCGCCAGTTGTACAGTGGGACTTTCCTCATTGGTTGGAATCGCGCCTCTCTCAATTTTTTTCCTCCGTTTTTTTCATCTCTCTCTCTCTCTCTCCTCTATCTATCTCTCTCTTGCTTCAACGCTCCCCCACCACTTCGACGATAATACCCGATAGAAAGATACGAGCAACTGCTGAGGCGATCGGTTTTGAATTTGTTCTGCACGATAAGGCACATTCCATTTTTTCAAGTTGTTTTTTTTTACATTGCGCATACCAATTTTTACGATTTTTTTTTCTGTTTTGTGAATATGGAAATTGATAGTTTTGAAGATTTATGAACGTTTCAGGGGGAAATTTATTTGTTTGGCAGATTGTTTGTCGTCCTTGGGGAGAGTTTTATGCGTTTTAATTTAGTTAGAGATTGAATTGTTCAATAATTTTTTGTTAATTACATTTAATTCAGTTTCATAATTAAATTTGATTTGGCTTGATTTCAATTAATTAGGGAAAATATACAGGAAAAATTCGATGTTTGCATTCATGCTTCGGGAAGAATTTCATACGGTTTAATTAAATTAGAGAATGAACAGTTTAACAATTTTATGTCAATACAGTTTAATTTAATTTGATTTGATTTCATTTTAATTAATGATGCAAAATCTACTGGAAAAATTTGAGACTTGCATTCATGTTTTGCAGAGAATTTAGTGCGTCTTAATTTAACTAGAGATTGAATTGTTCAAGAATTTTATGTCAATTAAATGTAATTTCGTAATTAAATTCGATTTGATTTGACTCTTTCCAATTTAATTATGCAAAATCTACTGGAAAAAATTGATGCATGCGTTCACGTGCACTCGATAGTTTCGGAGAATTAATGTAATTATTGCTGAATATTCCAAGATCTAATGATGACTCGATCCATTTTCCCGACTGCATTTATTTTTTATGTCACTGTTTACTTGTTTCTCGCGCTGTAATTTACCATATAATTGGTCGCGAGACGTCAATTCGCAGTAAATTATGATCGAATACTACATTTTTAAAAATGTTACCCTCAAATTTCAAATTTTACGAGGGATTTTTTAATAAGCGCCAATTTTATTCCACGTTTTATGGCCGAGGGGACTTTCCTGGCAACTTTATTACACCCCATTATTGTCCACTCCGGATTTTCAGAGACGGCAATGTTCGGATCGAACCAGTTTTGCATCGGCCGATTAGATTCAAGTGGTTTTCCTTGACCTACAATTGAATGTTGTCCCTTGCTGCTCGTTGTAATTATTCCATTCCCCTCGAGTGACAGATCTTGTCATCCTCCCAGCTCCAACGCGCAAACATTCTACACAACTGTTCAATCAAAATATTTTCATGTTTTTGAAGCTGTTTTGTAGTATGAATTTTGTTAATAATCACTCCGGAGATCTAGTATAATTGGCCAGTGTACTGGACTTTTGGGTGCATGTGAAATGAAAATTATCATATTTTTGTGTTATTTCTGATAATAATATTTTATTATGCAATGTTGTAATTTTTAGGTTTTTTTTTTTTGTTTTTATGGGTCTACAATATTTTGAAGACATTTCTAACCTACAAAAATATTGTAATTTCTGCTAGAATTATTGCGGTCTTTACACACAGAAAATTGACGCGATTTCGCAATAGCGCGATTTTCTGACATTTCAATTGATACAAATTTTCGGAATTCGAGACGGGTAATTCAGACAAAATTTTGAACAGTGGAGAAGAAGTTTGTGGAGACACTTATGGAAAAAAAAAATTTATCGCGAATTCAGGGGTAATTCGCTGGGGCACCACATTAAATTCGTTTTGAGGACGAAAACACATGAACTTTAACATTTTTCAGCAACAAGACGACGAAAATTCCTAAGCTTACTTGAATTGTTAATCAAAACAGGAATATTTTGTACAAAATGACCCGAAATTTACCATTAATTGAAACCTTATGAATAACTTCCCTCAATTTTTCTAATTCCTATTAATTTTCATGCAATAATTGAACTGAAATTTACAGTTACCATTGATTTTTTTATCGCATTATGAATTCCCATTGCGTGATATGAATTTCCAAAAAATGTTCTGGCCACTTCAGTCAAAAAAATTTCCAAAATGCAGGATTTATTCATTCCCAAAAATCGTTTTTTACCTCCACATGGGCATAAGCAATTCAAGAAATCCAGACATTGAGGAACCATTGTTCAAATATTCACTCAACCACTCGTAATCACGAATTTTCCAGCACATTGATTACCATCGGGTACATGTGGTGGAAGAGGTTAATATACCTCCACAATTTTATCTTGTTTTGCTTGATGAAACCCGGCATTTATCAGGAGGCGCATGGTCTCTTGTCTGGTTGACACGCATGTGTGTCACTCACATCAGGTCTGTATCGTTTTTTTATCGCATTTATAATGACAGTATTGTTCTCAATTGTTATTTATCCCTCTCGTTTCACGTTCCCTCTCGCAATAACAAATAAATCAGAATCTTCAAAGCGGTGTTTATGGGCTCAAAAGATAATTTATGGATGAGAAACAGACACACTGGCAGACAAATATGATTGAAGTGTGTACCGATCTCTCGACCTCACGTGGCA